CCTTTCTTCCGCATTTATGTTATCGAGATCTTCATCGCGCGATCTGGACAATAGCTTAATTGGACAACAATAGCGCAGCGCGATTTACTTGATATAATCGATGATTATTCCACGATGCGCGTCCACGTGTCGTGTATAATTAATTTCATTAGAATGAATAATAGGCTTTCACAACAAGATACTCGCTGATACCAATTTCCTTCCGATACACGCTTCACAGTCCGTTCCACTCTGCGCAGAACATTCACGAGATTCCCGATTAATACCGGCATTGCGTAATTTCCTCGCCCGAGAAATTAATTGCACCCGTTCACCTGTCCCGTTATCTCTCCTACAAAATAACCAAATTTTGCCCGGGTCGTCGCACCGTGTCCGCTCCCGCTACGTTATTTTCAGAGATAGATTTCTGGAGAAAGTGAGAGAGCACGCGTAGCATCCTTCACCTTCACCCATTGTCCTGTATGTATATTCGCCTCGATCTCACCTCGTGTCGCTAGGTAAGATTCACACCGCGAAGATCCGATATTTCCTCATCGCGGCGATCCATTTGCAGGTAAGTTTCGCGACCCGTGTGAAGGCGAGGTTTATTAATATTATAAATTAAATATCCCAAAAAAGGAACTAAAGAATTCACATCGATTGGATAATTCCGGAGGTAGTAGAAACCGATGGCGATTTCCCTGAATTGTATATAAAATGTTTCTTAAGTAGATATAGTGTACACTATTTTCACTTGTATGGTATCTCGGCAGTATTTTAATAAACGTGCGCCTCTCTCGCGGTGTTTTGTATTTTAATAAGGAAAAATTTTTTTTTATTGTCTGTATTTAATCTAGATACGCTCTAAATAAACTATATTCCTTATCGGGAGAAAGAAATATGGGATAAGAGGGGCACCGCAGCCGCCAGCACCGTTTCAACGAACGAACGACGGAGGAAAATCGCTTTTGCAGGCGTACCAGGTCACATGTCGGCGATTTGAAGACGATTTCTAACGCGTGCCAGAAAATCATTACAACACGGCGGTGTGTATGCCCGCATTTGTGCCTGTAATTACGCGCGCGTAAAATTGCGCCCCTTAATTTTGCTCAATATTTATCTCGCGGAACGGCCCGGTGTGATGTTGCGTGAATTGCTCCACGTTCACGCGAAAGATTACGAGCAAATCGAAGTGGAACGGTGAAAACCGTATGCCTCTTATGTAAATTGCGGAAAAGCCGCGAGGAACGTTAACGCTCATTACTGATTACTGTTAACTGATCACGGAATATAATGCTGATGGCGACATGTTCTACTGCGATTATATAAAAGAGATGATCTCCGTGCGTATTGTTTTACAATATGTTTCTTCGTAAAAATACAAGACTGTTTTGTACCTAATATACGAATAATACATATAATAAAATAGATTACTTTATACATTTAATTATTACAATTTTCTTTTAATATTTTTCGGTAGTAGGAATATTTTATAGAACAAATATATAGTATTATAAAATAAATTATGCTATTTTATAATATAATATATATTTTTTATTTATTATAGTGGGTTTCATTATTTCAGTATTAATAATGAAAAACCGACTGTAAAGTGTGAACGCTAATGCAAACGTTACGCGAGATTATCCTTATACTAATCAAACAAAACACGCCGTGCTGTACTGAATATCAAGTGTGTGTATCTAATCAGTTAGAGATATATCTTCTTCGATAAAGATGAATGCTCCCTCGTTGTTCGCGTATTAGAAAGTTCCTGCCTACATGCGACGTGTGTACGCTTGTGCGTACCTCGTTGAAGAAGCTTCCGGAAGAGGAGACGCTTCAACCGGAAGCTACTTCAATTGGATGTCCCTCGTATTTCTTCTTACGCGCGCGCACGAGATACTTTTCATACCGTACATGGAAACCTGAACGTTTTCTCGGTGGCCTGAGACTGAGTGAAAGGTCCCGCGATCGGACACGTTCCACACCGTTTGGATCCACGCGTATCCATTCCCGATGTATCCTCAATTAACGACAATTACTTTTCAAGAGAACGCTTTTCTCTTAGAACAAATAAAGAGAGAGATTCACACAGCTTTATTTATCATTCATTAGTATATAAAAGCCAATTTTACAGAGAGATTAGATCGTTTATATACACCGAGATACCTAAGAGAATTGTTGACACGCTAAGATCTTTCTGTACAATAGCTTTTGCATGTTTATCATTAATTTGACAATTGTCACCTAAGAGGATTCGTATTTGTCCAAGATATTTTTAAATCCTGCTGCGCTTTACACTGATGAATTTTTCATCAGCACGGGACTCTCGATTCACGCAGGGAATCGATTTCAGAGAGAAACCTAGCAATTAGAATGAGACGGTGCTCAGAAGGCTACGCGGGATGGATATCATGGTCCAGATGTAAAACACGTAGAGCGGAAGCGTGGAAGAAGAAACGAGAGAGAGAGAGAGAAGGCAAAGAGAGAGAGGGGGGGGGGGTCAAGAGTCATCCTGTTAGTGGGTGAGCACTCGTGCGGTTCTACTTTCGTGCGGACTCTGTTGTTTTACGATCTCGCGCTTCTAGAGTTCTATCGTCGTAACCAATGAACGGATCGATCTGAGAGAAAGATAGAGGAATATTCAAATTGACACACGAACAGTTATCTTTCTCTTTTTGTGAAAGCATATATCAAACGGAAGTAGGTTAAAGTAAAACATTACGATGTAGAAAAGTCGCCGACAATATTTTAACCATCGAAAGCATTCGGCTATCGAATTGCCAAATCTTACAAAATTGCTTATCGTATGTTAATTAATTTTTTCTCACGTAGCTGACGCCATTGAATTTTGCGTGCGTTTATATCTCGTAAAATCTCATGAAATCTCGTGAAAACTGTATTTCCTATATTTTATATATTTATTGATATACAGTGCCAATTGGGAAAAGAACTTTGAGCGAGAGTATTTTTCTAAAAGTGCCAATATTTCAAACTTAATTTAATTTATATAATCGTATAATCTTATATAAAACTGGTTTATCAAACATATTTATTTGTACTAAAATATCTAGAACATTTTATAGTTATTAAGTTGATAGGGATGGAAAATGATTTTTCCACCTTACTTTTGCTTTAAAGTATTGTAGAAAGGAGGCACATGATATCGTGTTACCCTAAATTAAAGTAAAAGTTGTATTTGCAACTGTAAAGAACGTCTGTGGAAAAAGGAAGCCCGTGATAGTGTCGAATTTGCTTATCTAGAAACTGGTACTGCATAAAGTGCTTTACTTAAACTGATAGATGGTATCGCTTTCTAGGCAATACTCGCTTCCTGCGCCTTCTGTTTGAATAGAAAACATTGGGAAGAACATTCGATGAACAGGTGAGCGTGAGACGCGAATATAGATTCCACGTTCGTCTTTATGAAAGAAGACGAATGGGGGGCGTAATTAACGTAAAGCGCGATTCTTTTTTTCTTCTTCTTTGCGCACCTTACTGTCTCGCCGGCGGAAATTTCACTACGATCGTTGAAGCAGATAGCCGAAGGATTCACGATGCAACGGGCGCACTGGCAACGGCCTGATTACGTCAGGCGTACAGCAATTTCATTAAATCTGCATACTCGTCCGCGCTCGAGTAATCTACGTGCCCGGGGCAATACATTAAATCGAGTCCCTGGAGAAATTTCGAAACGAATCCAATCAAACGCTAGAAGATTCATTGCGGAAACGCGAGCGAGATTGATGACGGGCCTCTGGAATCGTCAAAACACGAAGCCTCAACTTGAGCGAAAAATACTTTTCAATCACTATTCAATTGGCCACTCATTCTTTTCCTAATCAAGTGAAAAGTCAGATGTATTGATGGCAAAGTTAAGTATCGTGTCACTGATTAATGTAACGCGCTCAAATGTAATTATATTTCTAAAGATTAGTTTATTCTATTGTTAAAAATTAAATAAGTACTCATCTTTATATTTTACAGTTACATTTGTGACTATGAATTATTTTTTTAATAATTATGTATTATTACAATTAATATCTTTTAATAACACATTTATCTGTTCGATTGTTTATAGTGATCAGACATTCTCGCGCAGGCAAACGTCCCTTTAGCAGGAGTAAAGTCGACTTCTCACGAGAGTGCAAGTTTTATGACTTTTCCACGGACGAAATTTTCATGGTAATAAAATGTGAGAATAATGAAGCAATTACTTTCACCACAGCGTTCTGCGGTTTGTACAATTCATTTGGACGTAAGTGCCGTTTCAGCGATAATTCCAAATGCATTCTGATTTTTTTTCGCGCTTATACGATTTTATCAGTATAGATTGCTGCTTTTAAAACGAGAGTGGAAATCGCTGATCTTATCGCCGACTGACTTTTGGGTCGAGATACGCGAATTAATGTACTATGAAGCCGCGAGTTGGCCCCATTCTCGAGAACGTTATTAAGTTACCTCGCGACTGACTAAAATGCAAAGAACTCCACTTTTACTTTGCCCATAAACATTTTCCTGTTATTTCCGTCAGTCCATGAGTTGACGGAAATTTATGCAAAAATTCGCGATTATGGATTAATGGCATCACATCGATTGGAACGATGAAGCGGAACTGAATCGCGATTAAACTGGAAAATCGGACTTGCCGAACGCCGCTTTTCGTCAAATGTTAATCCAAAATGCCTCGAATCTCGCGCGCCGTTACACTTCCATTACGCAAATATTTTGCCGGCCGATCGAAGAAAGTTTTTTGACGCGAGAGAGAAAGTCGCGCGATGGAGTTAATTAAGGAAAATGAAAGTAATTCTGACGAAAATTGTCGTGTCGCTCGATAGTCCTTCACTTTTCCGACTAAATAAAACGAGCTAATTAGAGAATAAAGTAAATCATCAAGTGGAGAAACTTTGGTCGGATTATTTGCTTTGTGTTCGGATCATGTGCGATATCAGATGCATCTTCGCGATTCCGATTCAACAATTAAACGTACGAGACAGACATTAGCCTCTATCACTCACCTGTTGAAGATGAGACAAATCGGCGCCATTCAAAATTGCAGGATCGGCCTCAGCCGCCACGAGGACGTCTCCCCGCAGTATCAACGCGGTCCACAGAAAACACACGAATCTCTGCCTCATCACGGAGGATAAATTCTGTTCCTGGCGCTAATTCGACGTCTACACTACGACGACGCACCCGCTTGTATTCTTCTTTCGAATTTCACCACCGGTACATCGGCGAACCCTCTCGCCTGTATTAATTTACAATTGTTCTCTCGGCCGTCCCAGTCGATGAACCTTGTAAATAAAGATGAATCCGCCTTCCCCTTAATATGATCTCACTCGTGAGATCAGACGCGAGGTCCCCCTATTGTTTTGACGTTTGTTCTTAGTCTGTTCGATCTTATCGGTCGTGGTGTTCTCGCTTAATCACGCGGGAGAAGACGCTTCTCGCGCCCAGAGGATACCAGGCATTGATTTCAGCGCGACGTGTTCCTTCCTTCCTTCCTTTCGGTGTTCAGGAAGAGACGAGATCAGGAAGAGGCTGAGCTGACGCCAGCTACAAGTTGCGGGGCCTTAACGAGCTCGCACGTCGACGGGGACGAGTTCGGGACTGTTGGAGATCGGAAAACGTCCGAGAGTTTTACTTCTCGGCGACGCGGGAAGAGTTCTCGCGGTCTCCAAGTGGGAGACAGTCACCAGGCTGGTGAACGTCAACAAAGAAGGAGTCCACTTCTTTTCTCGATATTTTCTTGCAACGAGACAGGGTGAAAGACCGTGTTGCCGACAGTATCCACGTTATTATCAATTGAAATTGAGATGCCTTTTAAAATATAAAAACTGGTTCCCATAGGTACTGCTTTATTAAGTTCCAATAAAACTTGTTTGATTGCTGCGACTAATTGAAGGTACAAGCTTCAAGCCATTAATTAGAAATAAACTTAAAATTCAAGAACAATTTTTTTCCCAGCCACGTTAATTTTATAGTGGAGCGGGTAGAAAGTAGCGCTGCAAAGCTGAAATTTAGCAAGTCTCACAATTGGCAGCCACGATTTTTCAGTAACTTCTTTAGTGTCTTTCGACACGAATATTGTTTCATATCAGAATATAAAATAATTAGAAATTTCTTACAACTGATAAGGCAGTTGTATATTGCAGTATAAGAAATTTTAAGTAAACTTTCGAACGATCTCTCTTTTTCTCTCCCTTTCGGAGAACATTTGTAAGAAGCGTTTCTTTTTAAGCGAGACCATTACGACGTTCTCGATCGAGGAGACATAAAGAAACCCCTTTCGTTCCTCTTCCTTATCACGAACGAAAGATCGGAATGTTACACGAGCAATTCCATCCATCCGTTAGCTATTACTTAACGGCGATCGATATCGAGATCGAGCGGACGCTTGAACGGACATCGGTCCATTATGTTTCCGTCCCGGCGTTCGGCGTTCCGGAGAGCGAGCAAATGCGCGACGTACCATTTTACAGTTGCCTTTTTCATACGCCGCTTCCGATAATTCATACCGCTGTTTTATTCGCAGCTCAGCGACGCGCGCTCGCGGAAATGCCGCTCGTTAAGCCTTCTTACGTTATGCAATTGTTAATGAAATTATTACGTAAATCAACGTGCAAATCGTATCTAACGTTTCCTACTTAGTACGCTTAATAATTTCCTACTTAATACACTTACTACGTGTTTTTTGTTGTAAATTTATTTCACGAAACTTTGGAGCTTTGAAGACCAGCGAAATACGCTATCGTGATAAATTAACGTAAGATGAATACTGATAACGTTCACTGGATATACGGAGGACCTTACGAAAGTCCTGTCATTACAAGCAGAAAAAAAAGTAGATCTTATAATCGTAGCACGGTGGCGTGTGAAGCAACCGAAGCTCGTGCTCGAGAGCAATGGGAAGAAATGAGTTCGTGCAACGACTGCGATGACTAATGACGTATGTAATGCAACAACGTTATTAGGGAATCAAGATCATGCGGTACATACTTGTTCGATCGATGCCGATGTTTCGTCATGACCCAGTACTTTCTGATCGGGCAGCGAAAACACTTTCGGGCTCGCCCCGGGCGACGAAAACGCGAGCGTCCAACGAGAATCTTCCTTTCTCCAGTCTCGATTGTGCGACGGCAAGACTTACTTCTCCTGATCGCCAGTTTCGAAGGAGGATTGGCAGGCTCCGGCTGAAATTTAATAAAAATAATTGAAATATGCCAATCTAAATATAATATAAATTTACTAATCTTTGGGATGAACCACGCGAATGCAAGGTCAACTTTCTCTCTGTGACGATTTTGTCAAAGTTCGCCCTGTACCTATCAAATTGATTAAAATTTTCAATTACGTTCCTGAAGAATAGTGGAATAAAATTCGCTACAATTTAAATGAATCTGATATATCATATAATTATATTTTAAAATCATACACGGGGAGAATTTTCTCTTAAAATTTATCCTGAAAATCATGTAATCGTGGGACGACGTGGCATTTCGAAGAATATTATGAGTTTTTTTGAAATTTTACCATACTTTTTACTAGTAATTATACTTACAATTAGTATACATTTTACCAGTAAAATAAATGGTAACATTTCAAAAAACTCATAAAGCTGTTCAAAATGCCACGTTGCACCACAATTAGATGATTTTCAGGGTAAATTTTAAAAGAAAATTCTCTTCGTGTAGTTTACGAAAAATTGTTAATGTCAAATTATAATTGATAAGTACTTTAGCAAAAATGTGATTTTAACGCGAACTAGATATTGTTTTTTTGTACGAGCAAATTTTACATTGAAAGTACGGTCTTATAATTTCCGATAGCAATTACGTAGCAATTACGTAGCAATTACGAGGAAAGCAAAATATTTATGTACGTAAATAATTTTCACATTTTATAGAAAATACGTACACATTTTGCAACATCCGTAATTATTTATGTATAAAAATTAATAGCACAATACTTTATTTATATAATTATTATTGTACAATGTAGTATTTAGTGTAAAGCCTGTCCCGTTAATATCTACAATCTTATATGATTTGCATTTTAAGTATCGCGTGCTAAGTACTCGCGTGTAGTTTACAAACCACATTATGAAATCTGGAAGTATAAATAATTAAACAGGGACAAGAATTTTCGCAAGATCGTTATCTGCGAGATCTCAGGCGCGTCTATTACTTGACCTCGTACTTTATCAAGCTATTTTGTAGACGCCAGTACACATATGCATATGCATACGCAATGTGCACATACTATTTCCATTATATCACAGAGCCTATATTCACGCTCGCGCTAACGCGCTCTCCATCCTACGTGTTTAGCGTCTATTTTTTACGCCATCCCGACGTTATTTTCCACTCTTCGTACGGCAATCAACCGCGGAATATTATAATTATTGGATGCTCGCAATTTTCTCGAGAAACAAATTCTGTTTTCCGTGCGATGTAAACGTGCGTGCAAACTTTCTTTCTTCGCACGGCTATTACTTTCTTCGAGGCACGCAACTTCCGTGGAATTATCTGTCCCTAATTCTCGCGGATGAAACGAAGATGACGAAATTTTCACAAATTGCTAGGCATTTGATCATATTACTGGCAAAAAAGAATATGTGTTAAAGTGTATTACGAGATGAAAGAGAGGATTCCCTTACGTACGGTGTACTCTTTAAAAACATAAGTAAAGCGATTACGCAAAGCTCTAGAGTTGCCACATGACATTTCGATTAGCGATGAATTTAATATTGCGAAATAATAGTGTTATAACGCTTTTCAATCGGAGGATGCCAATTAAGACATTAAGACGGCCGGGTTACGTAAAACGACATAATCTGCGTAAGTTTATCACGAGCGAGACATCTGCCGTGTCGCCACATGAAAAGTATTATGTGAATGTACGGGTATCATGAATGGGAAAAAGGGGATTTTCTCTTCGTGTACGCGTATGAATCCTCGTTAAAAAGCGTTTCACTCGAATGAAAGGGAGCGGAAGCGATCTTAATGAGACAAGAAATATGCGATTTCTTGTACAACAAGATCTCTTTCGTAGCACAAAACTGTAAAAAACATACCGCAGAATTAAGTAAACCAACTAAAAACCGGGTGATCAAACAGCTTCCTGAAACAAAGCTTAACCAAAAATTCAGAAGTATGCGTTTTAGAAATTACTGGACGAGCTTAAATCAAGTTATGTAAACGATTGCAAAGTAAATATAATATGACTCTCACGAGAGACGTGCACTGCAAAACATATTAGTTTATTATATCCCTCTATAGATAATCTTATAATTTATCGATGCACATTATACCATTTGTAAATGATTTTATAAATTTGTAATGAGATATTTAAAACCAAGAAGTGAATATAATTAATGGTAACTCATTGTAACATAATTATTAATAATAATCATTTAAGCGCTGGTACAGTAAACAACAACATTTATCTCCTTTTGTTAAAAATATACCGAATACATAGTAGAATTTGCGAGTCTTGTCTCAGGAATGATGTAATATACATAGTTCCTAACCCATAAGATTAGATGAAAGAATATCATTATTATTTATTATCCTTAGCTTCACAAAATAATAGAGTTCGGAATAATGCATATAATAATTTGTGACCCAAATTAACTAGTAGAAAAATCCATTCGTAATATCCTGATTACGCTTTGCAGCCAATTATTTGATTAATATACAGTGTCTCCACAAACAAACGAGTAATTGTAGTATTTGTAGTTGCATATCAAGAAAGCGCAACAAAGTAATTTAATCGCATTATTCTCCGTCATTGGGCCGCGACTGCATTAACTACGAGTGGCACGGCACTTTTCACCAAAGTAGAAAAACTAATCGTCGCAACGTGGGTCTGATGACATGCTGATGACAGTGATGACGCATTAAGCAGTGATTATGCACAAAGTTTCGTTCTGCTCAACTCGTTCAGTGAATGTGAAATTGTTAACAAAGCCGCAATTCCTCTCTTTTGTTCTTCGCGCGATACTTTTATCGTGACGCTTCAAAATCGTTCTTTCTATAAGGAAATAATCTTTCGGGTGACGGAAGGGCCATACCTTATCTCCCAGATGAAAATTAATATTTAAAATAACTCCGGAATCAATATTAAAGTAACATTGAGTTCAAATTTAATACGTGGTATTAGCTTAATTTCGCAGATTCCAAACGAAGTCCTTTATGTACAAATTCCGGGGTAACAGACTCGCTACGTGCAAACAAACATTCGAGACGTACAGCAAGTAACACATTGACATTATAAACAACCAAACGTATAACATAAAAGACATCCTAATCTTCAGTATCCCTGTGTCTCTCCATCTCAGAAACATGTTAGAAACGATGGTCGAGTTCGAAGCAAGTATGGCAGCTGAAGATTTATATTTGGAGCAACAAGAAAGAATTAATACAGCTAGCAAGGAAAAAGACTACGAAAGCTTCTACGTAACGCTCGAAAATGAATTGAAAGTGATGTTAATACGTTCCCGTGACACCTTCCCTAAAATTTTCGTTGCACTGGACATTCACATTGGTAATGTTTATCGTATTATATTTTATGTATCTTTGAATGTAGAACGAATCTAGAAATAGGGACACTTTTATAAATGAAAGGAGAAAAATGTATAACAAACCTTTATATGTTTTAAATTCTATCATCCTAAAATTAAATTTCACATTAATCTGTCTACTAAATGCAAACACAGGATGTTTTATTTTAATATAATTTAGATATCGTTACCGTATACATATAATATATAATACATATAATATATAAAAATCTATGTAATATTTAAAATAATTATGATAAAATTGAGTTATATATTTTTAATATGTATGTTTAACTAGTTAACTAGTTAAAAATACAGATAAAAACAATATTACAACACAAGATACATATCGCAATGTATACAGCACGCTTTATATGCACAGGTACATGTGCAAAGCATTTACAAGCGCCAAACGTTTCCAAGTGTGGACTTAAATGATGTACAGTAACATGTACTTATTTGGTGTTCCATTTCGCTTCAGATAAAAAGTTTGTAAAAAAACTGTCTCGTGCAATTGTTTTTCAGCCATTATTTGTCAAATAAAATTAGAATGGATGAAGAAAGGAATCACTAATTCCGAAAATTTACAAATTAAAGTAGAACATCACCAGACAATTGACCAGAATCCATCTATTGCGCAATTCTCATTAGTCTTACATAATTTATTGGATGTGGTCTCCGATGAAAAACCGATTATCTCTCGGTCTTCTTGTATTCTGAATGTAAACGTCGATTCATGAGTTCCCATGAAATATCTAATTAAAGAAGGAGAAATAAAAAATTCCTGTATTATAAGCTAAATATCACAAATACTTCTAATATTTATTTAAATAGCAGTCAACGTTCTATTTGTAATGAATGTCATATAAATGCTTTTACCTGGCATACGAACAGATTATTTGATCAATAATTGCGACTCCACCATCTTTAAATTTATTTATCACATAATCAGATGGCACATATTTCGTGACTTTGTACTGAGGTAGATACGACTTGAGTTCATCAAACTCTGAAAATTATTATTCAAGTGTTACTTAATTTTTCTTCATGTACAGAACATTTACTTCAATTACAACTTATGTATATTCAACACAGGTTTTAGGATTTATAGGATGTTTAGACCGCGTCAAGATAAGACGTATACCATATTGCTCTGCATCTGTCGCAACAAATAATAGGGTTAGCCCAAGCCTATCCATCGCTTTTTGTAATTGCAAGGCAGTATCCATTATTGTCGGCACCGATGCCTTGTGAGCCCTGATGAAGTCGCGTCTCCTAAGATGAACCGCCAAATATGGCCCGCCTCTTGCATCTCGCCGATTCTGAAATTAGAGCCCAGATAAGATCGATTGTTATTCTAATGTAAAAGAATAATAACCAACATACCTTCTCTTTGGTCCAGTCTGCTGGTCGTTCCGTATTATCACTCGCGTTTGTGGAATTCAGAGAAGCCTTCCTATAATTTTCCGCGATATCGTACAGCTCGGAATTATAACGCATGCTGCGCCGAGCCCTCCAGTATTCTTTAGATCCGTATTCGTCATGTAGAGCAATCTCCATGCGATCAAACATTACGGATCTATGCAAAAGGTGCTAACAAGATCCTTGCAAAAGGTAGATAGAATCATTCCGAATTGTATGTAACGTTTCACCTGTACTGCAGTGGTACGAGATTCTGAGAGAGGTCACGTGCCATGCCGTGAAACTTGAGGCACTTGACATCCCGAGCGGTGACGTTATGATAACCCCAGAATGGACTGGTGTACAAATGCCGCTCCAATTCGTTATATCGCAAAGAGCCACGATCACAGTCCACCAGCTCGTTCTTATTCTCGAACTTACCTGTCTTGAACATTTCCTCGTCGTTTTGCAGGATGTACAGACGATCAAGCTGCACCTCTTTGCTCCCGCACGAGTACTCTAAAATCAAGCTGTTAGACAGTCAAATAAATCATTTATATCAAATCCTCACAATACCGTTAAAAAGAAGAAATGTTACTACATTGATAAATATACAATTGACTGAATCCCAATACAGAATTATTCTTAAACTTAGAGAATCTGTGTTGAAAAATAGGAGAAAAATATCGTGTTAATCAGATTGCATTTCTCAAGCCATTGAGAGGAACAAGGCAGACTTTAAGCAAGTTACATCCCTTCAATTTTTCACGAAGCAAGGTACACTGTAAACACTTGCGGTAAACTAAATTCCGAATAATCCAAGTTTATTCTTATCTTGTCCCACATTCAGATTTTATTCCTTCAAGCAGCCTAAACAAACGCTACGTACCGTATACAATGAAATCAAATAGGGACAGTTTTCAATATTGCAGTTAAGAAGAAATGTACCTTCCATAAATTTGTACATCTCCATGACTGGTATGTACCGTTGCAGACTCGCAATGTCAAAGAAGGTGCCCCAAGGTAGTTGCTCCTGGGATCCTATGTCCCTGCTTCGCCAGTGGTACAGATTGCCTAGAGCAGAGATCGAAAGATGCGCACAATCAAGAATTATGTGTATAGATAAAAAGAATTTCGTGAAGTATATCTGCAGTTGATGTATTACCCCATGGCGGCAGAACCAATCGCCACTGGAATTCCTTATCCTTGTCTATTAGCCTCCTTAGAAAAACAGCGACGCGAATGTACACGTCTCGCCTCAGATTGAAGCCTTCCGCAGGATTCACGTCATAAAGGATGTAACTGTAAGGAAAGCACACTGTCAATCTCTGCTCGGAAATGGGACAAAAAGCGTAGGAATAAACAAAGGAGCTTCTCCGAGTCTCTATAATTTCATGCGGCATCAAGTTACATTCCCATAGATCTACATTTTTCCATGAGAAAATTATACAAATCTGCATTTGTCAAGTATCACTCGGGCATATCTCGGCGAGACTTGAAACACATGCGTCTCAGTGTCTAAAAAGCTACGGGCTTCCAAGAGACACTGACATGAGATTTAAGAAGCAGATCTGAGAATACAAACGTAGACAACGAGACGCTGCCTAATTTTTTCTCTCGCGGGCAAAGGCAACCGGTCACAGAGGGATAACGCAAATTCGTAAACCGTAACTTCGCACGGCGTCAACTATCTTGATCATTTCTCACCGTTTTCCTGAGAAGCGGTTCTGAGCGGGGCATCCCCTCGAATCCTCGGTGCACCCGTCGGGCGCCGCGCAAAATCCGCTCTCGCTGCCGCCCGCGATGCACCCGGTCAAAGTAACAACACACAGAAATTTCAAGGCCGACATTTTTCACCGGCAAATCCTGGCCGGCTGGACACGCTCTCTCCCTTTCCCTTGAAGTTCGGCGAAAGTGAGGAAGAAAGTTTCAGTTCCGGTGCAGCGACAAAGAGCAGTCCGCTGAAACGCGAGAGCGCGCGAACCTCTCCAGATTTCCGACTCGTCGACTCTCGGATGAGTGCCGAAGGTTCGCCCTTCGCGGCTGCACCCCGTCCCTTTCCCTTCCTTCCCTCTTCAGCGCCATAAATATTTACCCCATTTCAAAAGTGCAGGAAGCACTGCAACTCGACGACGTAGTGCGCGCGGTGCAGTTGCAGGAAACCCCCCCCCCCTCCCCGCCGACTCTTGAATTCATTCAAAAGAGAAACGTATGCAAAAATTCTGCCGTCGCGGAAAAGTCGAGAGTCAATTGGCCAAGAGCCACGCGAGTGGCCAATCAGCTTGCGACTTTTCTGTAAGAGCACGACTTTTCAGGTATGTACGTTGGCTCCTTGGAATGAATTCAAGAATCGAGCCACGGATCTCGAACAATATCGAGTCGAGATGTCGATAAAACAAGCGCCTAACTTCCGGGAGGTGTACATGCCTGGTCGGCCTGGTGTCACGTATTCGCGGCTCGCCGTGGATTTACGCGGGGATTACCCGGCTTTCCGTTGTCGCGAATCCCTCGAGGAAGACGTCTTCTCGGCGATCCAGCGACGCCTCGCCCTCGGCCTGCCTGTCGTCTGGCCTCGTCGCGCCTGAGCACGGCTCCTCGCCACCGTTTCCGTCGCACCGGTTCCCCGCGCTCTCCCGTCGAACTGACGATCGGCAACGAGCGAAGTTGTTCTTGCGACAGACGATGCAACCCGTAAAGTCATGAAGTTTTACGAGGTAATTGACTCCCGTCTACTTCCGTGGCCCGCTTTTTCTCCTCTCGGCGACGAGACGACTCGCGATATTAAACCGCGACGTTGGGAATTACGTCGTCTACTGAACGGAACCTTTTAGGGTTGTAACGAATATTCGCTTTCGCATGTGCGAACGCGAGACTTTCGTATCATTTTAGACTCTTGCTTTCGCTTTCGCAACTAATTATGCGAAAGTTTTAGCGAAAGATTTTGTCCGGCCCGCACATAGAACTCTAACCTAACCTACAATATTTTAGAGCTTTATTTTATTCTGAAATGATAGAAAATGTTTATTTTGTTTTATTAGAAAGTGATATCTCCGTTCCTGTTGTGTTGCATTGCAATAATGTATTTTATATGATTATAATTAAAATATATAATTTACTAATTTACTAATTTGCATTTCTCATTCAATAATATGAATTAGAAATATTTTTTATTATTATTAGATTATTAATTACATAACATTTTTTCCTAACTGTCAATTATATCATTCAATAGAAAGAAACAAGATCTTTCGCTTTCGCTTTCGCAAAAAGATATCTTTTCTATCGCTTTCACTTTCGCATTCGCTTTCGTTATAACCACTTTCGTTACAACCCTAGAACCTTTTCTTCTGTCCAACAGAATCCGAATTGCGTGCCTTTGGAGGAGCTGCAGCTGAGTATCAAGAATGACGGGGTGGTTCTCATGATAAGTGCACTGGTACGTGTCCAATCTCTGTAGCGTGGCGTTGGGGAAACGTGTCCGTCAGAAATCGCGGCCCCTTTCCGTCGGACACCCACCCGACGATTGTGCACGCGCGTGCCAGACGTTGTTCGGTACTCATGTTCCTTTGTGTTGAACGTCGAATTTTAGAATATACGGTGGGCGGAAGACAAGCGTTACTTCCTGCATTACGAAGTGCCGGAGATATACAATAAGGATGGGTCGGAAATCCCGGGCGCTCAGGATCGCTGGATGGAGGTCGTGGGTTACATCGTCGAGGATCTCAACTGGTTGCTGGATCTCCCGTTTTATCGGTACGACGGTGCCCCCCCGGCGGCGCCTCGGCGCTGTTAACAGCGTGCAATTGCTACTAGCGGCTTTCCTTTGTTTAGATTCTGGTCCAACATTGTGTACAATACCTCGATTCTGGACACGCTGGTGACCTTCTTGCAAGAGGCCCCGCCTTTCTTCACTTTAGAGAATTTCCCTGCCGAGCCGAGGATGCTCGAGGCGTTGGAGAATCTTCGTCGCAGCGTACTTGTTGTCTTCGCGCGTCTCTGCACGAATAAGCAGAGCCCGACGGAGTACATGAACCGTCCGTTTCTTGGGAATCTGTTGTACGACAATTATATATTTACAATACCGATTATATTTGATCTGTGTCAACTGTACGGCAGGGATAATCCCAAGGTGGTAGAGAAGATTGTAGATAGTGTATTTAGTCTGCAACCGCTGTACAATGATGATCTTCAGAAAGCTGTGCCGTGCCTTATAAAGGTGATGTCTACTGTTCAATGATACAAAAAAAAGCAATCGCAAATATAAATTTAAGATTTAATTAATTTCAGTTGAATTTTCTTAAAAGTGTGATGTGTAAAGAAATTGCTATGAATACTTTGTTCCAGTTGAATTAATCGTTCTCGTTGCCGTAGGCTCTCCAAAATGTTGAACGGAGATTTGAGGATTGTCCAAGCTACGCGACTGAAGCAGTGGCGCTTTCAGAGAGGGGAAACTCCGTTGAGATGACGCTGTATAATTTAGAGGATTTGATACTCTACATTCTAGATGTGTCGTCGACTCTTGCTACATTATTGAGAAGCTATTCTCCGCTAATTGCTACATTTCATGGAGATGACTTCATAAACAAGTGAATAAAGGCTATTTTATTATTGGTTTCCTATTGACGTAATATTGATTAGTTTTTAATGCTTTGGTATAACACATTTATGCGCTCTCAAAACAATTTGTCTGACGCTGCACGTGACATGCTGCTCGAAACTTGTAGTACATTGTACAATGTTTTTATATTGGCGTCACTATATCGTTTCTGTTCGCTAGGATAGTTTCGTTATATGGGAGTACAATACCTGAGATGTATAAAAAGCTGGATAAGTTAGCATATAAGGAGGAAAGTATACCAAAGTACATGGAATTGAAGCATCGTCTCGATGTAACCAGAGTGGAGATGTTAAGTCTTTATCGAATTATTACTTATGAGCCCGTATTAAGTATTCAGGAAAAGATGTAAGTGTGAGGAAGTACCACCTTGTGATAAGAACAATTTTAACAGAATATTCCGATTAAAAGATTGGATTTATTTACTAACATTATATCTGCAGAAACACAATAACGGAAGGCGAGATAAGAAATTGCATAGACGAATATTTGAATACACTAATGAATGCTATATCTGAAAAAGAATTCATTATAGATTATCATCAGTTTTACCCAATTGATGCCGATCTCGAACATATAACCAAACTTTGTCCTGATGTGTATCCTTTTGTAAAGAAATTACAATGTTGGGGGGAGATTTTAAAAGTTTAGTTTCCTTTACTTCTAGCATTCAGTGATACGATAAAATGCGAGTATATATTACATTCATTGCATGCAACGATTGGAGATGCTAAGCCGTCAGTCAGTGCGTCTCTCAATAATGCAAGTGTAAGTAACAATCTTGCAGATGTATGCGTAGGTTTAAAAATTTCATGTTATGTATTATTGTATTATAGATAGCCGTTGCTGGATCTAGTGCTGTTCAAAGCAACCAACGAAAAGAACATTCCAACAATGTGAATTGCGTAAATGATAAAACAGACTTTGCCTTGAAAGAGCCTGCGAACATAATGTCTCTAATCGCGGAAGTGAAAGAGATTCTCTGCGATTATGGTGAAGGTTTCATACAGGTAAGACTTTTGTTAAATGTTAAATTTATTAAATTATAAATGGAAATAATGGACGAAAAATGGAACTTAGTATTAAATTCGCCAAATAAGGAATGCTAAATAGTATTGTTATAAATTTGTGTAATCTAAAACTTTCAGCTATATTTAAAGCATTATAATTATAACGTTGAATCTGTGATAAATGCAGTTCTGGAGCCGACGAATTTACCACGTGATTTGAAAGAATTAGATAAGACAATACCATATATACCACCCGATCCGATGGTAAGTGATGGAATAATTTCTACGCTGTGACAAAGCCAAGATAGCAAAGGTTAATTGTTTATGTATCCTTTTAGGAAGTATCGGCTGCTGTGGATCCCACTGTGAATCTAGCCAGCAATTTTCAAGAATTAGATATTTCTTCCAACTTTGACTTTGAAATTATGACCGAGAAGTTTACAGACACGTCGGAGAGGAGGAGAAAGTAGGTCACTAAGTTTGCACAAAATTTTTACGTTTTAACATTTCTGTTATCATTAAATACATCTTTTTCTTCCCAGGAAAAATCAGTACAGAAATGCAAATGAAATGTTTAATGACAAGTCTGCAATTCAAGAAGCGAGGCGTATTTATGATAAGTACAACCTTGTCGCCGATGAATACGATGATGAGTATGACGACACGTACGATAGTCACGACATTGGTGGTAGCACGCAGGACGGTTCCACAGAAATAGATGCCAGGCCTTTCACCACTCCGAGAGTTAGTGTAAATGTTTTTTTTTTAACACTTGATCTGTAATTTTACGTGAGTTCGTTTTCTATGCGACAAATTTGTTACGCAGGTATTTCGTACAGCCGACAAAAATAATGCTAGCTCGGAGGATGACACTGAAAATGAAGACGAGAAACCTGTACAGAATAGTAACCACTTCGTACAAAATCCGGCGGAATTACGCGCCAAAGCCGAGCAACGAAAGCAACAATTTGTAAGAGATGGCAGAAATGCGCACGATCCAAACGGTAAACTGCACATTTATTTTCTTGAAACCTTTAAAACTTACAGTTTCATTAAGCTATTAAATAACATATACAAAATATAAAAACTTATTTTCATTCGGCAAATATATAAAATCACTGTTCCTGTTTGTAAAAATATATTATTTGTATTTACATATATTCAGCGAAATATTGATCTATTACATTCCGGAATGGTATCTGAAACATAATATTAATTGTATGGTATATTTATAATACAATTCAACTAGATGTTTAATGAATGACCACTTTAATCGCGTTTCTCTCTCGTTTATATGTCACAGATTGAAAAAGCTTTGGTAACATTTTCAATGAAACTTGCATTATTGAATATTCAGATTTTAAATTGCGATTTTTCTTTTTTTCTAAGGCAAGTCCAAAGGTCAAAAGCAAAACAAGAACGGCACGGTAAAAAAAGAAGATTATAGGAAGAAGAGTGTATACAAATCTTCACAAGGCAATCACAATCGGCGTATGGGTGCCCAGGTGAAGAGGAACCGAGGAATGATTCCATCCTAGAGCAGCAGGTTTTCGTAAACGCAAAAGATCCGACGATGTACATACTGCCAAGCAATGAACATCTTCACTTAGTTATTTAATCACCCCACGAAAATAAACGTTCTTATAATTTCTATTCGTTTGTCTCGTTATTTCGAGCCAAGAGCTTCAAAGATATTTTTATCTAAAAATAATATCAGAATAAAATTATGTTTTACGTTATGCCGTTTCGAAAATGTTTAGAGAAAGCTGTACTCATTCAGTGGTCCTTTACTATAGTTAGCGCTCTCAATCTATTTAATTCAGTGTTGATAACTCGCTGATGTTCCTCCTCAGGTACCGTTGTGCTCGACGCGAACGCGGAGGAACACTCGATGGGCATCAATTGCGTGTACAACTGCGTCGCGTGCCCGTAATAATTTAACTGTATCATAATCACAGCGTGAATACTCGGATTGATGTACTCCAATCTTTTCCCGAGAAACATCGGCAGCTCCGTGAGCAACTGAGCGTGTATAGTCTTCAACTCTTTAGCGGCCATCTCCTCCGCTCGCCGTTCTCTCTCCAGCTTCGCGATGTGATTCGCCGTCCTGTCCTTTTTCTCCTGCAACTTTTTCATACGATTGTACACGTATTTCCAGGTAGCCACTAGATCCTCGCGTTTCGTCAGTGCCGCAGCAATGGCGATAAATTCATTTCTGAACTTCTTCAGAGGTTCGATAAACGTCTTGTAGCACAAGTTGCTGATCTCCTGAACGTTCTTTCCCACCTGATGGCAAGATGCGACACAAGTTACAGTATCTCGAGGGAGAATGCCAGCGTTGCGTGTGTAAAGTGCACCAACTTACTTGTGTAGCGACGGAATAGTACTCTTCCACTATTCTTCTACACTCGTTGTTACTCTGCGCCAGCCCGCAATTGATGAGATTCGTACTTAGTCGCTGGTCAGCTCTGTCCAGATACGTCAGGGATCCTATGTACTTCTTCATCTCCTTGGTCATTTTTCTTATTGCGCTTTCGACACTTGGAAAGAGAGCGGACATTGTGATAATTCGAATTATCTCTTCGAGCAATCGTGCGATGCATAAAAATCTAGTTGATTGGGCAACAGGATCGGAAATGCGCTCCACAAAAGCAAATTGTAACAGAGGAAGGAAGTTGACGTCGCGCAGGCTTATCGCTACAGAACAACTTCCACCAAATGTACGTACTAGATGAGCTGCTGGACGACAACGTCCAGCTCTTTGTCCTCCGCATAGGACAAGAGCGGCGGCGCGGAAGTCGGCCTCTGGGTCAGGTAGTTCTTCTTTAAAGGATTCCTGCTCGTACAATACGCATGTAAATTCGCGATAAACGAGTATCGACGTGTTTTAAAAGTCAGCTGACTCAGTGCTTGAGCAGAAAGATTGTCGTAGGTGTTTACGATTCCGTAGTAAGTTAGTCTTGGCCTAATATTACATTTGTCGTACGACAAATTCTTCAAGCGTGTTGACCGGCTGCAGAATAGAAGATTTCTAGAGACTCGAGAACATTTCTATCTTACAGCCAATTGACACGCTTAAAAATTTTGTCGCACAAATGTAATGGCCTTAGGGCCTGAGCAGAATAGCTGTCTCGTACTCTTAAGACATAAAACAGCTATTGTGCGTTACCTCAAGACGAAGGCTTAAAACGTAAAACATTGTCTTAAGGCTGTCTTAAGAGTATAAGAGCCATTCTGCTCAGGTCCTCACGATAACTTCCTTTCTTTTAGCAGGGCAGTCTTTATACTCGCTTAGGGCCTGAGCAGAATGGCTGTCTTATATTCTTAGGTGACGAGACAGTCAGGGCCTGAGCAGAATAGCTGTCTTGTACTCTTAAGACATAAGACAGCTATTGTGCGTTACCTCAAGACAAAGGCGTAAAACATAAAACGTTGTCTTAAAGTCTAATCTACAATGTGCCCTCTGCATCTAAAAACATTCTACTGAAATATAAGAAAATCCAAACGCTTAAAATATTTGTCGACAGTGCACGATTGTACAGTGTATAATATACAATTTATCTACTTGCGCAAAGTTTTTAAAAGTATTTATTGACTACAAAATAGAATGTTTCTAGACGCAAAGAGCACATTGTAGATTAGGTCTAAGGCTGTCTTAACAGTATAAGAATCGTAAACGGTTGCGGCAATCTTTCCGCCCAGGTTCTCACTTACCACGTCATATTCGATGTCGCTCGGCAAGCGTCCGCGTCTACATGGGTGACTCTGGAGCCCGGACGACGAGTTGCTCGGGCTCTTGCAGCTGTCCGCGATCTTTATTCGTAATCTCACGCTCGTCCGGCGACTCGTGCAACGTTCACGCGATCGTACCCTCGACGAGGTCCTGCGTCCGTGCGCTCGGACAAGTGACGTCACATAATAATAATTCTTGAACGGCGCGCGATAAGAACGTCCGCTTGTTACCTCGCAGATTGTTTATTTAGATACAGCTGACGGTGCATCGCGCATGCGTCCGAATCTCATTCTCGGCGAGATGCTGGGGACAGATCGCGTCCGTTCATTTCATCGTTTCTCTCGCGCGACCGGGAAGAGGGATGATCCTTCGGACGTCGTCGTACACTTCGGGCAGGTGTCAAGACCGACAGGCAGGTCCTCGCCTGGCACACAAGTGACACGACAGGTTACATCTGTTCTCAGTAGCCGCACCACGTTGCACTTCCTGCACTCAAAACAAACGGGCTAGAATTCCCTATTTTTTTTTGTCCCTGACTGGCCGTCGGGATTCAAGAGCGAGCGTCACGCGGGTTAATTTTACGCGCAGTACGCGTGTGAGAGGTAAACACAGTCGAGACCTGCCGGACGCAGCGGATCGCAATCAGCTGAGGCTGCGGGGGCGACTCACGTCGCGCGACGGGCGGCATGTTTCCGGCTTACGCACACCTGTCGGCTTACGACAGGCACAAGAAACTCGTCAACGACTACCTGACGGTCTACGGGAAGTCGGTGTCGTCGTTCCAGCGAGACACGTAGGTCGAATCTTTCGGTTTTGCGTGCTAGGAGCTTCCGCGCTGGACAACGACGTCTCGCCGCTCGCACCTGCTCGTCTCGATCGACTCCACCTTGCGCATTTTCATCTCTTTCTTTTTCTCCTCTTAGGCGATTCACTACGCCGGGAGTGTCCCTGAGAATTATATCTGATCCAAGTTGTTCGTTGTATTCTGTAATTATAAGTTACACTATATTATTTAACATCCCACGCGGCACTCATGTCTGAAAGACATCGTTAAGACCAGTTAAGACGTCTTTAAGATATGTATGTCTAAAAGACGACTTAAAGATGTCTTAAAGATGTCTTTTGGACATGCGTGCTGCTGTATGGGATTGTAATACAAAAGTATGAGTGGATCTGTGCTTTCTTCTCGAACAGTTGTCCTTCAAAATTGTTTTATCCTTTTTATCGGAATGGCTGTCTTGTACTCTTAAGACAATGTTTTATGTTTTAAACCTTTGTCTTAAAGTAGCGCACCATAATTGTTTTATGACTTAAGAATACTGCTCAGGCCTTCACTCTAGAAAGAGACAAACGTGAATTAAACCAAGCTTAAAGTTAAGCGACGTTGGTGAAACCGGGCCTTAGCGAGCTATTATATTCTTAAGAAGAACATGGCTTACGGCATTTCCTTGCGATGGCTCTATCATTCATTAATAGCACACGAAGGTTGTAATTGGATAAAATTTGTAACAAGCAGCACTTGACGTTTCGAGGTCCCGAGACAAGACTGATCACGATGTCATCAGAGAGAACCACAAGTTTCTTTGGGATCAAGAGAAGGACGTTCCGGACACGTGGGGTGCGAAATTAGCGAAGAAGTACTATGACAAATTATTCAAGGAGTATTGCATATGCGATCTCATGTATTATAAGTATAACAAGGTAGGCAATGTCTTCATTTCACAATTGTGTCTCCGTATTGATTATAATTTGAATTATAAAAATTGTTTCGATTAAGTGAATTATTAATTTGTGATGTGAGCAGGTTGCTCTGAGATGGAGGACCGAGAAGGAAGTAATCGTTGGGAAAGGACAGTTCGAGTGCGGCAGTAAAACGTGCGGGGAGAAGGAGGACTTGCGTTCTTGGGAGCTTAATTTTGGCTACGTGGAACACGGCGAAAAGAAGAACGCGCTAGTAAAATTAAGTACGTCTTATAATCAGTTTAAAGTGTAGACGACCATATATTCTATACATATACTGCTCCGCACAAAATTAACTAACTCACCTTTTCTTTTGATGCGAAGGACTTTGTCCGGAATGTTCGGTGAAACTTAATTATCGATCACAAAAGCGGGAGGTGAAAAGGGGAAAAGCTTTGAAGCGTTTAGACGTTTATTCTGAAAGTAACAACGTGCCTACTGCATCCAGCAATCCAGAGTCAGATAACAATGCGGAAATAGATTCCAGCTCGGCTGAAATACAAAGCATTGAGAATACTGGTGCGAACGAGTCGAATATCTGGAAAGAGAAGCCAACTGAAGATGTAGAAAAGACAAGAGAGAAAGAATTTGAGGAATACTTGGCAGATTTGCTTATGTGAACACGATTTTCATCATAATTTATTTTTTATTTGAAGTTTTATTGTAAATATATATTAAAGAGTAGTTATATTTCTCATATATTCGTTTCTTGCTTATTTTCTTGTAAGAATGTTGCACTGTACAGCTGTTAGTACAGCTATACTGTATAGTATTAATAATAAAATATTTATAATACTTCATATACGAAAAATATTTTTTCCAATGAGAAGTACCTTCATGCATTTAAGAGGAGTCTGAAAAAATGAGAGAAATTTATCATAATTTAATTAAAATAAAATAGTGTTGCATAATTTTTAGTAAATTTTAAACTTTTAATGTTAGAAAATGTTTAACTTGTATATAAAAATGTATAAAAAGCACCAGGAAAGCCTTGATATAAAATTGCATTAATTTTTACTATTTTTTATTTTGTGTATACAAATTGCATCTAGATTAATTTTTTTTCATAATCGAGTTTAACATACAATATTTTCTCCTGGTACTTGGTAAATTTTTGAGAATTTAGATTTTTGTAGCTTGAATTTTTTAATCTCTCTTTCTCTCTCTTTCTCCCCCTTTCTCTCAAACTCGGAGTTTTGGAGTTTCAATAAATACAATCTAGTCCGTAATTGTATTCTCCTAATGCTTTCTCAATTTTTTAAAAATTTAACTTAAATGTCAATAATTTAAAAAGTTATCAACAGTCTACATATAAAGTCAACTGTTATTTTACTGACTGATTCTTGGACCTCTTGTAATCATACAATTATTAAGAATATATTAAGAAAAGAAGTAGTATGAGTTGACTTCGAACACTGTGATTTCAAAAACTTTAATTTTATTTATTCCGTTTTTTCATCTACATTTTGTGAGCAACATTACGAACTAAAAAAGGGCGGGACACATAACAAATCTAGACACACATGTCCCAAATACGCTAAAAATTAGTACAATTTCAGTATCAAGGCATTCCCGGTGCCTAATACACGTTATATAGATTACAATATGTTATCGTTAATATACAGTAACAAAATATTCCCCTACAAAGAAATATAAATAATTTCTATAAATAGAGATTATTGATATTCCCAGAAAACTTTTCAGAATTTCTTTTAAATTTAAAATATTACAATTATATAAAATGGAACAAATTTTTATTATTTTGTATATGTGTTAATTTCATATTAATAGCTCAACATTCTTTTGTATTCGATTTTTTTTCTATTTTTACGTATTTTACGACAGTTTACAATACGTCCTACAATCCAATCGTATACAAAGTTGAATATTGTCTTATTTTCTTGCGGTTTAAAAACCTAACATAAATCCAGTGATTACTTGTCTAAAATTCAAATTATATATTTCATTATCCAATCAATTAAAATTAATATCTATTGACTGCATAAGTATTAATTCGAAGAATGATTGTATAAGATTATAACTTTATATTTGTTCTGTACACCTATCCTAAATTGCACAATTCACTTATTAGAGCTCGCTATACCTCGTTCTTCTTCTATTATTTCAATTATGATTTCAATTATAAGCTTACATTGCATATAAAAAGAGAGACTAATCAATTTTACAATAAATTTAAAGTCGTTGACGTCTTCTACTATCAAAACTTCAATAGAATACTCCTCAACTTTAATATATATTAATATATATATATATATATATATATGTATGTATAATCATATTAAGTCAATATACAACATATACAATGCTAATAAAATCTGTCACGTGTTGTATAATTCAATATTCGAATGCTTCATAATATGAACATTTGTGCGCTAATTATTACACCATTAATAATGTCCCAACTACAAAAGTATTAAACATTCTCCGAGAAATTATAATTGATATAAATATTGCTACGTTTCGTCTTTTATATCGACATCATTTTAAAAATATATTATATTACCGTACATTTTGGGACTAAATATTCTTAACGCAGCTGAGATGCGTCTTATACTACGATTTCTTGAAACACAAAATTCTACAGTACTATACATTAATCATTTCATTTCTCAGTCGATTTTAGTTATGCAAAATAAAAAATAGTACCGAGTATCATAAAATATGGCTTTAATTGCAATTCGCATTTCTCGTGGATATTCTCATTTGATTGGCATGCTTCTGCGAATCGCTATCCTCGTCGCTGCAATCTTCATCGTGCGTATGTGTAACATTACGTGGCGTTTCCGGTCTTGCATGTGGAATTTGATTATTAAAATGGTCCACATATAAATTCTTCTAAAACGAAAACATATGGAATACATTATTGAGACTCCTACATTGATCAATATCCGATTATCATGACGATATTCTTATAAATACTTACAGAAGAGGGTCGATTGTGTTCCTCTTCCTCGTCTGCCAGTTTAAACGTTCTCGAACGGCTTATCATCGGCGTTTCCATAACAAACCTTTGTTCGTGTGCTACCGTACTCTCGTGTGGCATCTGAAAGTGTAACGAAGAGAATTTATGACTTGCGTGAATCAAAAAAACAATTTGGATAAATCGCCAAGTACACGCCATATAACTTACCAGCATAGCAGGTGCTCTAAACATGTATGAGAAGGGATAATAAATCAGATTCAAGAAAGTCGCTGCGTACAGATCGGCGTACCTTACGACCTGACTGCTGAAAAACGTTTGTCTACTTCCGCTGCGAAATAGGGAACCCATCATGCCGTAAGCTAAATCCATTTTGTGCGTGACGTCCCTTATGGACGCGCGTAACTTAGAAATATCCGGCTTCTCTTTCGTACTGCTGTCTAAATTTCTAAACAAAGTAGAGTAGACGTTAATGAAAATATGTCGCGCAAGTATCTTTACATAAAGTATTTATTATCGATTATACACTACTCACTTATACATTTCCCCGAGCATAACGTCCAGCCTCTGTAATTCAGCGAATAATTGACACTTGTCGGTCCAAACGTGTAACTCCTGAACCAACTCAGGGACTATTAAAAATGTTCTCCAGCCCCTTATCTTCTTGCTCTTTAAAATATCACCAAATATATGGTCACCGACATATAACACATCCTTTCCTTTTGCGCCGATCAATTCTGTAAACACGTCGCACGAGCCTCCCGAGTACACTTCCCCTGTTTTAATCAGAATCAAGGATTAACAATCTCACTTGTAGCCGAGCAGGAGAGTTTTCTAAATTACATTTGCCAAAGTTAAAATTGGGTTCTCTAAATTATATTTGGTAAAGTTAAGTTAATGTCTTTTCCATTACCTGTGTGAAGTGGTCCTTTGTGTGTACCAAGTTTTAAAGCGCCCGTCCTCGTGTCCACTTGTCGCAAGATTGTTCCTTCCCCGAAAAACAACGGCTTTCTGGCGTCTACTACAATTGTGTCAAAGTAGGTTTTCCAGTTTCTATGCGGTTCGTCAGGCTGAAATGAAAGTAACACGTCAAAAATTTATTGATACTTACAATAGTATCAATGAATAATTTTATGTGAGTATGCTTCATCGTGAATATATTTCTCGCACTTAACAAGCGAGAGAGATATTATCTTTTAAATAAATAAATTTCTCACATGAACATACAGATTCTATTCTAACAATAAGTTAGATAATTAGAAAGAACCAAAATTTTATTAGTGTCATAATGTGATGTTACGTATTCAATTTCGAGGGCTTCATTAACTTTCGTACATGGCAAATGCAGCTCGTTAATTTGTTTGAAGCAATTAACTTTAAGAATGTTAACAGTGAATGAGAGAGAACGTACCCGTGCACCGTGTGGAAAATCGAACAAATAAGTCATAATTTTGTCCGTGAAAACGTAATCACTGTTAGTTAATAAAAACACTTTTGCTCCACTCTCTCGGATTCTCGTAAGGAACATAGGCAACCTCTCGTCCTTATTTACGTATTCGTCTAAGTTCTCGATAGTCTTCGTTTTCAGATCACCATGAAGGTGTATCCAATCTACCGCGCTTCGGACGTCCTGAAATATACTTCTGAAGCTCATGGTGAGCTCACCTTCTTTCACTCCGGTCTTTTCTCTTGTATATTGCGGCGAGTTTGTGAAAAAATCTATCAGACACGCCAGCAGATAGGTCTCCGGTAGATTGAACAAGGTATTGAGCACGTAAACTCTAGACTCGTCTAATTGTAGAAATTTATTTGGATAAAGCTCGTAGACCTGAGAGCTGAAATGGAACAGACGAAGTAGAGGATGAGAGAAAGAGAAGCACAGAGAACATAAGCCGCGCCGGGTTATTTTTATCCCTTACTGTTTCAAGAACTCGAAGCCATGGACACAGACCAAGATGTTGCCGTAAGCGTCCACCTTCAAGAGATTCCCGTGTAAGGTGTCGAACCATAATCCGCGAACGGGAAAACTAGGATCGTATTCGAAAGCCTTGATTTCCTGCGGATACCCCAAAGACACTAGACGATCCTTGAGCAAATTGAAGCCCAATTGCTCGTACTGTGGCGACTTGTATTCTAAAATGTTTCGTTACACGTAGCACAATTTCACTAATCTCAGCTTCTCTCTTGGGATAAAAAAAATTGAAGAAAAGAGACGTAATATTACCTGCCAACGTGTAATCCATATCGAACCCATAGAACTTGATGTTCTCGAGATGAAGACTCCGATTGACGAAGATCCTGCGAAGAATAATTCATCGATTAGGAAACATCGCAAGATAATGGCATTGATTTACGATGGTTGCAGTGTATAAATTTTAAAAGTGCGCGATCAATTTGATGTAATGAGGAAAATTCAGCGAGACCTATTGGCGAAGATTTGTCGCGGCATACCGATGAAAGACTCGCTCTCCTCAACATCTTCCTGCTGATGGAGAAATGATAATCGTGGCGATCTCATAATATCAAAGTCAGCTTCTCGCCTGTGTTCTGTGCCGCTTTTCGAAATGGCAATCATTTTGTTACGTTAGATTTAACGTGTCGAACAGATCGCGATACCAATGAAGCGTTGGTGATCAAGTAACAAAAGATTGTCCCTTATCTCTCCATTCATTTGTTTTCTTTTCCTGTTATCTCGTTATTAAGTTACATTAATTATTGTGTCCAAAGAGGATACGTAAGTTTACTCCAATAGCTTTGTCGCAACAAAATAGCTCTTTAAATCGCGAAAAAATTCTACCGTCAGTTTTAATATAATATTATTAATTTTCAATTTTATATTCTTCAATGTCTCGGCCTCGGCAATTTATTGTTAGCGTAAACTCCGTCTCGATAGGTAAACCGCTGACCAAAATCATGTACACCAATGCCCACTAATGCCCAAACTAATACCCAAAGAATGCCTAGTAATGCCCAAAAAATGCCTAAGCAGAAAAATTGTCGTAACTGTTTACGATTCCATCGGAAGACGTAAGCAAGTCAGTGTCGGAGTCAACGCACAAAGAATTGTCGTACGTCGCCGCGCGATGCAATGGATACGACATACGTCTACAATTCTTTGTGCGTTGACTTCCGACACCGACTTAAGTCTTACAACGGAATCGTAAACGGTCACGACAATCTGTCAGGCCCTAATGCCCAGTAATGCCGCAAATCTGTACACCGCAATGCCCTCAGCGGTTTACCCCTCGCTAAATGCGTCGAATTCAATTTCGATAAGCGTGTCTTCCTCAGACAGACGCATCAGCGAAAGCTCGTGCACGAGCAGCAATTACTCTCGATACACTATGTGAGTGAATTAATTATCCTGAAACGCGCGAAGCCGCAACGATTACGTTACTTATCGTCGCTCGGGGCGTTCGTGCCGAAAATTATACATTTTGAAGTCGAGACACACTTTCGATCCAACTTTCGAATACGTCAGAATCGACGGGCACATTCCGCAACGAAGTTTTTGCAGCGTTAATTACGCTCAAATAGGGTAAAGGCAGGTATTATGGCCATAGTTTTGATTTGAGGTCATAATTTTCAAACCGCTGGT